ATTTTAAGAACGATTTCCGAAGTAGAAATTAAAATGTCAAAAAACTTTTAAAATATTAAACTTCAATTGTGGCTTATTCCCAATAAAAATAGTAATTGCAATATATCCCACAAGAAGATAGCTTCAGAAAAAACCAAAGAAACAGACCTAAAAAAAGTCAAAAAGCAGCCCTCATCCTAATTAACAAAAACAAATGTGTAGCAAACTCATCAACAGAATACAGCAGGCTTTATTTACCAATCTTAAAAAAAAGGTCAAGAAAAAGAATATACCAATAATAGCCGAGTAACAGAAGATTGAAAAACATCACCTACAATCTTACACATAATAAATATGCAATGTGCTCATGTTTTATATACTGAACTTGATACGACTTGTGCCAGTCTGTATGGTTAGATAACCTTAAGCGACATGGATCAAGTAGATGAAAAGTATTCAGGATAGATATGAATAGAAAAAAGTTAAGCTTTATGAATAAATTAGTGGCTCAGAACCAGAGGTGACCATACAACAAATTCACTATTTTGAGATAATTGAGGGTAAAGTTAATCGGTTATATAAATTTCTAAATTAAGTAACATAACTACATTTTGGAGATTTTGTATAGGAGAAACTAAAATAATTCAGATAGAATAAAACAAAAAAAATTATTTCAAAATTAGCTTTATTTTTAAAGAACAAAGGAACAAAATGTTGTATAGGCGTTTTTCGCACTAACAAAACTGAAAAATATTTTAAACCGGAAAAAAAAGTATTACTTCTTCTTTTCCTCTTGAATCTGTGCTAAACCTGTGTCTATCTCATTGGTTCACTTGAGAGTTTTAAAATACTCGTGGTGGATAGAAGGCACGTACTTTAACAATAATATTAGATCTTTCTTTTTCTCTGTTATCCCTCTTTCTTCAGGAAATAATAAATCTAACTTCATATATGGATTTGTTGAAGGACGGCCACCTATCTTTTTCGTGAAGTCTACTTCAGAAAAATAACTATCAGTGTTATAGTTATATTTAAAATACATTTTTCTCGGCTCAGATTGTCGTAACTGAATCCAGAATATTTTTAGCCATTCTACTTTTTCTCCTGTAATTGCTTTCTTTCTATTTACAATGTCATGCCCAATTTTTTGGTACTGAAAAATATTTTTTTTTCCATTTTATGAGTACAAAATTTGGGCTCCTTTTTCTTTGAGATGTTTATTACGTTTGCCCAGTCGTTTGGCACAAATATATTTTCGTGATATTTTTTTTCTTGTCAATGACACCAAAATTTTGATCACAAGTTGAAAAACTGTGTCCAGACACAAAAAATATTAGATTTATTTCCTTTTCATCGCTTTTTGCATTTCATTAAGAAGACCTAAAGCGACTATTCTACCCACCACAACTATCAGAATATAAATTTACGATGGATGTTGTCTTAGGCAAAAAAGAAATATACTTGATCTAACATGACACAATCTCTTGAGCGCCACGCGAAGCAACACTTTCGTTCCATGCAAACATATGCCAATGTTTTCAACTTCATTATATACACACAAATTAAAAAACCCACATCTGTCATTTATAATAAGCTACAGATGTAGACAGAACTGGCACTGACAAGGTTTTCTGTAGATCAAAAACTGCAACATGTTTTTCTTCTTTTTCTTTTTTTGCTACTTCAGTTTCTTCCTATTTTAATTGCTTCACAACTTCTGCTTTTTTTTGTGTAGATTCCTTTCCACTTAGTTTTATATTCTCCTTCATTAAATGTTTTGAGTAGAGTGCTAAAATAGTCGCATTTTTGATATGTGTCCTTTTGTGTCCTGTGAAACGATAGATTAAAAGAAAAATTAAAAGTCTCTCTCTAAAGACAAAAGAGACAATGACTTCTTTTCGACAACTTTAATATTCATTATACATTAAGGACATGTTTAAATTTGGATGCAAATATTTTTTACTTATGTGATGCCAAAGAATCCTGGCTTGAGAATTTATGTAAAGAAATAGAAGACCTCCAAACAAAGCATGACAGTTTCAACCTCCACAAGAAACTTAAATATACTGCCGGAATTAGAAAACAGAAAAATGCTCACATACTTAAAAGCGCGGACGGAAAAATTTGTGATCACGAACAACAGTGCAAAGAATGGGAAAGATACATCACTGACCTTTTTGACGATGCTTCTAGAGAAAATGCTCCAAATACTGCCTGTGACAACCAGTTAGACAGAGGTGCCAGTATACTGAATTCTGAAGTCAAAAAGGCAATACAGCAAGCCAAAAACAATAAAGCACCTGGACCAGATCAAATCCCTGCTGAGCTACTTAAACTTTTGGATGAGGAAAGCATTTCAACAAAATTTACAACGAAGGAAAAATACCCGATGATTGGTTAGAGTCACTGTTTATAACATTACCAAAGAAAAGCAGGCCCACCAAATGCAGTGATTTTAGACTAATCAGTTTGATGACTCACACACTGAAGATACTCTTACGAATTATACAAAACGGAGTATTCCTTCTATGCGAAAGTAGGATGGGTAATACGCAATTTGGATTTAGAAACGGTCTAGGAACTAGAGAGGCACTATTCTGTATGCGCGTTCTATTACAAAAAAGTTGTGAATTCCGAAAGAATGTTTATGTTTGTTTCATCGACTTCGAGAAAGCGTTCGACAGAGTACAACACGATACACTTTTCGATTGCCTACGGGCAGCAGGACTTGACCACTATGATATAAGACTGCTGAAATACTTATATTACAATCAAGTAGCCTCTATCCAAATTGGAGACAGTCCGACTGAAAAAATATCCATCAAACGTGGAGTACGGCAAGGTTGTGTTTTGTCACCCACTCTTTTTAATCTGTACTCTGAAGAAATCTTTAGGGAGGCTTTGGATGACAGACAAGAGGCAGTAAGACTAGGTGGAGAAGTAATCAATAATATTTGATACGCTGACGATACAGCCATTCTTGCAGAAAATTTACAAGATCTCCAAACATTACTAAATCTAGTAAGTGAAGCAAGTTATCGCAGAGGCCTTAAAGTCAACATTTCAAAGATAAAGTGGATGGCAGTTGAAAAAATCAATATAGATCAAGGTCTGATTTCTCTTAATGTAGAGGAGATCGAAAGGGTAAATCATTTTAAATACCTTGGCAGCTGGGTAAATGTAAATTGTGACTCTGATGAAGAGATAATAACTAGGATCGAAATATCACGTAAGGCTTTTATGACGTGGAAACCAGATTTATGCAACAAAAACCTGTCGATGAATATTCGTAAGAAGGTCCTGAAATGTGTGGTTCATCCTATTGTTGGTTGTGGGACAATGGATGGTTGTGAGACATGGACGTTAAAAACCACAATGCTAAACAAGTTAGAAGCATTCGAATTGTGGTGCTATAGACGAATCCTAAAGATATCGTGGGTTTCGCACACTTCCAATGAAGATGTTCTTCAAATGATCAATTCAGAACATCTACTCATAAACACCATAAAGAGGAGAAAAACAGAATACTTCTGCCATATAATTAGAGGACCAAAATACCATCTACTTCGCCTTATAATACAACGAAAAGTGGAAGGAAAGAGATGGATTGGTCGAAAGAAACTTTCATGGCTGCGTAATATTAGACAATGGTGTGGTTCCACAGTAGAAGAATTATTTCGCGCAGCAGCCGACAGAGAAAGGTTTCAGGAAATTGTAAACATGATGACGGCCAACGTCTGAATACGGACACGGCACCCAAAGAAGAAGAAGATGCCTACAATAATGTGATTCATGTACTGGAAATTTGTTAACAAACTCCAATAGGTACTCTGCATCATCTCTATTTCTCTTATCATGTGGTGTATGTTTACTACGTTTATCCGAAATGGGAGTTCCCGTATATGCTTTTCTGTTTAGAGCATTTTTGTTATTTTGCCATCGCTAACATCTAGGACGTTTTTAAAAAATTCTTTACATATTTTGTGGTCATTTCCATTTTCATCTTGTAATCTTTAAACTCGTCGTCTTCTTTTTTCTTGATGTTTCCTTCTTTGTATATTTTCTTTTTGCAGGTTCAACAGTAATTTGACCAGAAAGAAAAGCATCTTTGGATATCTAATCTAGCGAATAAAAATATTGAAATATTTGCTGTTGACGATATTCACTTACTTTATCCGAGCAACTTAGATGGCAAGTTCTACAGCAACTTCCTGGTTTGCATAGTTTTGGACGCACAGTCTTACCTTTATCTGAAACATGTTGTTCCCACTTCATAACTTTTTCCTTTATGATTTTTTTTTTGGACAACTTAGGATTTGACTACCGTTTTCAAGTGTTGGCATTTCAGATGTCACATGATCGTTGTCATTATCTAAAATAAAATAAAATAAAATAATGGTATACAAAAATTAACTTTAATAATTAAATGAAAGTCTATCGTGAATTATCTAATTTCTTCAAAAAATTCATGATAACGTATAGCAAGAATAGCGTATACAATATATTATACTACAGTTTTTTAAAGAAATATTATTTAAAAAACCTTTTTGTCTTATCGCGAATAATACAAAGTACATACCTGTTGTCTCACTATTACTTTTACTAGGCTTATACTCCTCTTCTTCTTCTCGAAAATGGGAAAAGCATCTTGAATGCTCTACAGGCACGCCTGGCGATTAACGAAAGTGACATTCGAGTTTTCCAATATTTTTAATAGATGGCAACACGGGTTCTAAAGTTATTTGAAGTAGATACTACTTTGGATAGGCACATCTGACTCTGAGCCACTCATATATAAATATTTACGGTGATCACATATTATAAAATAAAAAATATCGTTAAATACGCATGTTTAAAACATTATATTATTTTTAAAACTATTCAAAAATACATAATTTTTACTATTTCAAGGTGTTATAAAATACATACTTTTGTACATTTTATTTTCTGCATTTTTTATGTAATTAAATGCTCCTCGTATAATAAAATTAGATACCAAAATGCATTCTTGTATTTTCCAGCTGTTTCTCCTTCCAGTGCTTGCTATAATGAGACCGTTAACACTTTGCGTTTTGGGCAACGTGCCAAAAATATAATATTCCGGCCAGTCGTCAACGAAGACCCCAAAGAAAAGACAATCCGAGAATTGAGAGCAGAAATATTTAGACTGAAGGAGCTTTTAAAAAACGTACAGGTATGATTTATTATGATCTAGCTAAGTTTAAACCATATTATATGTTATATATATATATATATATATATATATATATATATATATATATATATATATATATATATCTTTTTTTGTTTGTAATTTTTGACCAGATAGTTTTCTTTTTAATTCGGTTTCTCTTTAAATAAAATTTTACTAAAACTTTATAAATGAAGATTGTTTATACAACTAAGCTCGATATATTTACAGTGAACGGCTAAATTATGGAATATTATCATTATTTCGAGAACCGTCGAGTTTTGAGGGAAATCCCGAAGTAGGGATGACGTCATCGGTATGGGTGTAGTGACGTAACCGTTAATTTTATTAAATAGAAATCGGTATAATGCGACAACTCATTTGAAGGAGAATTTAATTCTCTATTTACCGACATTACATTTTTAACTAAAATATTTTTTTAAGGATACAAAAACATTTTTTTTTTATTTAAATTCAACTAAATTACGGCTAATGATTTAATTCATAATATACTTTAAAGTAACCAAATTATGCATAACAATTATTTCAAATTAAATGTTCGAAATGCCATCCATCGGTTCCTGCCATGACTTTCTGAAGTATATATATATATATATATATATATATATATATATATATATATATATATATATATATATATATATTCGGTTTTATAACGTCTTACGACGTTATCCGACTCCCAAACGCCACTGTATTCTGTCTTGAGTTAGGTCTTCGTCCAGATTTCTAGCGCTAATCGCTTTCTTAACTCCCAGGTTCCAGCTCTGTGGTTGTCTTCCTAGTTTCCTCTTCTCTGGGGGTTTGCCACATCATCGTTTTTTTAGGCAATCTTTCGTCCCCCATTCGGCTCACATGCCCATACCATATGAGCTGTTTTCTCTCAATATCCTCAACTATAGTGCCCTCTATACCCATTTGTTGTTTTATCACTTCATTCCGTTTTCTGTCGGCTCTTGATATTCTCATCGATGTTCTGATGGCATCCATTTCCGTGGCTTCGACCTTTTTCTTATATTTCTCGGTTATTCTCCATGTCTCAGCTCCATAAAGTAGGCTAGTTTTAACCTTTGTCTCATAGATGTTCCATTTTCTTTTCTTTGATATTTCTTTACTCCATAGGACTCCGTTCAAACATGCTGTAGCTCTTCGTGCTTGTACAATTCGATGTTCTATTTCTCGTTCGTCTTTTCCACTACGGTCGAAGATGACGCCCAGGTATTTATATTCGTCACATGGTTTTATTTTTTGATTGTCATCGATATCGAGTTGTTCTGCTTCAGCTCCAATTGAGAGGTATTTTGTCTTTTCTAGATTGATATTTAATCCCCATTTCTGGTATTCTTCAATTAGTTTTCTAAGCATGTATTTCATGTCGTCTTTGTCATTTGAGATCACCACCTGATCATCTGCAAACTGTAAAGTATATATGTAATCCTGATCTTTCAATTGTATACCATTCCTTTGACTTTCCTTTTCCATTGTTTCAGAGCTGCAGAGATATAAATCTTAAATAGACTCGGAGAGATACAACATCCTTGTCTGAGACCCTTAGTAACTGCAAATTTTTCAGCTAAGAGGTTTCAGAATTTCATTTGGGAGTTTGAACCATAATATAGATTTTTGAGAGCACTAACCAACGTTTGATGTATGTTTGATGTGCCCAGGACTTCCCATAGTTTATTTAGCGGGACTGTGTCATATGCCTTCTCAAGATCTACAAAAGTCATATGTAACTCCCTATTTGTCACAATTTTCTTTTTTATAATTTGTTTAAGACAGAAGATGTTATCTGTACATGAACGACCTGCTCTAAATCCTCCTTGTTCTTCGTCTTCAGACGATTGATAATCTTCCTCTATCAGGTCTCGTAGTATTCGACCGTATAGTCGACTCATTGAACTTGTGACCGATATCCCTCTATAGTTTTTACAATTTCTCCTGTCACCTTTTTTATATATTGGGGTCATATTTGCTGTTTTCCATTCATCTGGTGTTGGATGTCCATTAATATATTCGTTAAATATCACCGTGATCATTCTGTGTAATTTCTCTGAGCCATTCTTTATTAATTCCGTAGTTACTCCCTCTGGTCCACTTGCTTTCCCATTCTTCATCCCTGCTATAATTTTTTGAACTATGTTGATATCTATGGTAATATGCTCTCCCAGAATTTCGATTCTTGATGAATTCATATCTTCTTTAAATTCGACTCTGTTCTCATTTAATAGATGTTTGTAATAATGTGTCCAATACTCGGGATTTATGGGATTTAGTACTTTAGACTTTTTGTAGTAAATACTTAAAAAAAAGCAAAAATAAGAAAAAATAATAATGGACACAAAAAGTTATCTCATAAACACCGAAACTTTTTGTCAAATGTTATTTCAAGCAAGTGATAGTGGCATAGTTACTGTTCTATTTATTGACCTAAATGTTCTGATTTTGTGAATTGTCATCAGTTGTCAATTGTTATTTTTACTTCTGAATACTAAATTATGGCTCACCTAAATGAAACACAACTCATAGAAATATTAATTCTTAGCGGATTCGGTGATAAAAAGAACACAGAACGAGATATGCAATTTATTCAACGCAAAAGACAGACTCATCAGCCAATCAACAGTAAGTAAAATAGTTAAAAACCTTAAACATATTCCAAACGCTGGGTGTCCTAAAATTGAAGACAATGTAAAACTTGATATTTTATTAAATGGACATGACGATCCTCATAGTAGTTCAACACAAATGGGTGAAAAAAATATTAAGAATATTAAAAAAAAAAAAGAAAAATACCATCCCTACAAAATTCAACTACATCAGGAATTAAACAACGACGGTCCCGATCGCCAGCTTAAATTTTCTTAAATCATGCAGGATTTATGTATCCGCAATCCACATTTCATCGATCAACTCCTTTTTTTTATGAAGCATTAGTTTTTATACATGCTACCGTGAATCGTCAAAATTGCAGATATTGGAGTCAAGAAAACCCACATTAGATGACTGAATTACACACGCAATATCCTCAGAAACTAAATTTATGGGCACGGATCATTAATGACAGAATCATTGGTCCTTTTTTCTTTGAAGAAAATTTAACAGGAGAACGTTATTTAACTTTTTTGAGAAATCAACTTATTGCAACCTTGCTAACATGTATCCCAATGCCAATAATCCAAATTTACCTAGTGAAAATATCGGATTTAAACAATATGGAGCCCCTTCGCATTACGCAGGTGAAGTACGTCAATTTTAAATCCGTGCTTTCCCAGAAGGTAGATCGGAGGACGAGGTTTTATAGAATAGCCAGCAAGGTGGCCAGATCTAACACCTCTAGACTTTTTGCTGTGGGGTTACATAAAATCAAAAGTTTATGTCAATAGTCCCCAAAACTTACAGGAAGTGAAAGACAGAATTAGGCATAGGAATAAGAATGAGTCTCCTTACTCCACAAGTCATCCGCAATGTACTTGATGAATGTGTCCGTAGATTCGCATATTGTCAAGAAACCAATGGATGTCATTTCGAACATTTAATTTAAAATAATTATTATGCATAATTTGGTTACTTTAAAGTACATTATTAATTAAATCGTTAGTTGGAATTTAGTTGAATTTAAATTAAAAACAATTGTTTTTGTACCCTTAAAAAATATTTTAGTTAAAAATGTAATGTCGTTAAGTAGAGAATTTAATTCTCGTTTAAATGAGGTGTCGGATTATACCGATTTTTATTTAAAAAAAAATTAACGATTACGTCACTACACCTACACCGGTGACGTCATCCCTACTCCATGTACGTTATAAGATCGGTATTTTATAACAAAAAATCGACCTGTTTCGGGATTTTCCTCAAAACTCATCGGTTCTCGAAATAATGATAATATTCCATAATTTAGCCGTTCACTCTATATTATTATGATAACGAAAATTTACTTAACTGAAAATTAAATTTATTGTTTAATTATCTCAGAACAATATAAAAAAATATAAATTTGATGAATTAATTTATCCGGGTTATTCGTGCTTGATTTCTCAATTCTGTATTGCATTTAAATTCATAGAAGCGGAATGAAAATAAAACCCTAATATTAAAAGAAAACACAATTTATTGACATATTAACAAATATTACTTCGTAAATGTAAAAAATGGATTCCTAAATATTATCTCACCAAATTTCTAAAGATACTTAATGACAATATTTTATTATCCTTTAAATAATACTAATCATAATTGATTTTCAAAAGTCCACACTGAGTACTAGTTCTCGTGTTAAAAAAAACTATACTTTTATATGAAGAAACTAACTTTTATAACCAAGTCAAAAAAAGTCAATACTGTAGCGGGAATTAATAAAACGAACGGTTCGAATTTATATAAATATATTTTATGTTAACAGTTCGGTACTCTCTTATCAACTAAACTTACTTCTAACATCGTTATTTATATATACCAAAGTTACTATGTTCTAGAACATTCCCACCTCTAATGCGTATACGTGACGGATTGTTCTCTCCCGCACTCGATATGCCTGGAAACTTCGAGTCGCTCTCGAAATGCAATCGCTACACGGGACACGCTGAATGCATGTTCGTAACACTGCTCCCTTCTTAGATCTGAGCGTCCCGATCAGCAACTCTATATGTAGGCCCAGGATGGCAGAATCTACAGGACTCTCCAGCTCTGTATGTACCCCTCAGAAAGATATAACAGTCTACTGTCTTTGAAGGACACGATCTCTTCAAATTAGTGCAACACACAGTAATTCTTACACCGGTTTCTCGGAAGATCACTTGAGGCATGCTTCTGACAATCTTCCCATCCAGATTATCTAGTGCATGGCCTATCTTGGGTGAGGCCAAATTCTTAATGTCGCAATTGCAGACGATTTTCTTTAAATTAGAGCACACCATATATCCTCGTAGGTTGCCCTGTCTGTATACGACTTCCTGGTCACCATATACAGCAAAGATCGAGAACCA